CCATCCATCCATCCATCCATCCATCCATCCATCCATCCATCCATCCATCCGTTTACTGAGGATAACCCAAAGCATTTTCTAGGTCCAGCTGAATGCTTTTATTTTTAAAGTGCGACTTGGAAGAACGCCATTGTCCTGCTAATTTTCAATGCAACGCATTAAGTAACCCCATTCACACCTCAGCCATTATCCCAGGCGTTTATTGCAGCTGAGATGGGGATAGCGGAGCCCGTGGCTGCGGTTTTATTCTGTTTTCGGAGCCCTTTCGGGCATCCCCTCGGAACTGCTGCGTGCTCCATCCCAGGGCGATGCGTGGTCCATGAATGTCGGTGTAACATTTCGCCAACGTTGCACAGAGCTGCAATGAGCCTGAGGATGAGATTAGAGTTTCCCCTGTGATTTTTTTTACGGCTGTTTGAGGGCCGGGGTGTTAAAATATTTTACGGAACTGGAGAGGTAGATTAGCGGGGTTTCTTGCCAAAGCCTGGAAGCTGGTATTACAGCCCGTCCCAGGGGGACATCGCTCACATTAACCACTAAATGAATATTTGACAAGGGCTCATTCGGGGGTATTATTACTACAAACGGGTCCCTACTGGACTTTCCGAGGGTCAAAGAGCAATGGTTCAATTAATTATTTAGACTGTTAGGAGATGCGATTGTAATAGCGGCGCTTATTTCTGCGACCGACGGTTCTCGAGGGGGGGAAGAGAGGAGAGGCTGCAGAAGCATCTCGGGCCTCTGAGCGCGGGGCTGTGCCGGCCCGGAGAGGTGCCGGTGCCGGTGCCGATGCCGGGAGACCCCCGCTGCGGCCCGGGCCCTCCGGGTGAGCGCCTTCTCGGCCCCGACGTGCGGCAGAACAGAGCGGGCGGATAGCTCCGCGATTGAAGCGATGTATAACGCGGGTCCGCCGAAGGAAAGAGGCCCATTGCTGATAGGTGTGATTAGATACACTTCAGTTATTTAAATCCCGAGCTAACTCAAATATGAAAATCTGAAGTGCGTGTGGGATTCCCGAGAGGAGCGCTGAGCCCCGGGCCGCGCGTTGGCCCAGCCGGGTCCTGACACCGCTGGAGGGGGGGCGGGCGCCCCGGGGGGGAGCAGAAGGAGGGTTATTTTGTTTAATTTCTACAACAAACATGTCCGCAGTAGTAGTAAAAAAAATGTTGGGAGTGTGCGATTAGGTGACAATAATATATGTTGAATGAATAAGAGATAAGCTGCAAGGGGGGAGAGGGAAGCAGTAATTACAAACCCAATTCATTCAGCTTTTCAGGACTTTTGTTGTGGGAGCTCCATTGACGGGCTTCGAGCTGCCAGTTTTCTCACATTAAAAAGAACTGATCAGCGCCTCAGGGGGACAAGCAACACCGCTTAACTGCATAGTGATGGGGTCCTCATTTAGAGCCATTACAACGAGAAAATTAAACAGAGCCTTTGTGTGCACCGGGTTTACTTTTCAATTGCTGACAGTTTATAGCTAACTGCTCAGAGATTGAAGTTTGATTGCGGTTTGATCGCCCGCTAGTTAGCACCGCCGCTAGTTGGGTTTTGGTAATTAAAAGCAGATTTCTGACGCTGGCCCGGGGGATGCGAGAAGTTTGGTCCTGTTTTGCTTTTGAGGAATCGAGTTCACTTGGCGAGGATGTCCGGCGCTGAAGTGAGTGCGGGGGCTTTTTCGCTTACAAACTTAGGGGGAAAAGGGAGTGGGGGGAGAAAAAAAAAGAAAAATAGGAAACGCGGGAATGGAAATCCTCGGAGTTGTAAATGTGGCTGTGAGAACGCGGAGAGAAGCGGACAGGCTCGGAGCGGGCCGAACTCGGAGCTCTGTTTGGGCGCAGGCCTGCTCTCGGTGGGGACTGCGGGGGGAGCGGGAAAAAAAACGGGGCCGGAGCGGGGCGGGGGGGCACCGCGCTGCTGGGGGAGCGTGGCTGAGCCTGGGAGAGAGTGCGAGTGCGAGTGCGTGCGTGCGTGTGTGTGTTTGCATGTGTGTGTGTGTTTGCATGTGTGTGTGTGTGTTTGCATGCGCGTA